AAGTGAAACAAGACTTACACTATTGTGGCAAAGAGTCAAATGTGTGCATGCTTCTGCACTTATTTTACAGACTTGCGTGAAGTCCTGAGGTTTAAGAAACTTGTTCCTTGGGTAAATGGCATAGGGGAAAACAACTCCACTTACATTAGTTACAAGCCCATGGCATGAACAGTAGGAAACACTTGCATCTTACTGGGAACTGGAAAACCTTTTTCCCTTGCAACACAATCTCTGGCATAGCCTCATAGAGCTGTAAATCATGTCAGTCCATACTAATGAATGGTAAGGCTGATGTTTGTTCGGCAACCATTGGTCCTGGTGGATCATGGTGTATGGATGCGAAGTCACTCAGACCTCCAATGCTTATGCCTAGGCAGGAGTACTTGGAGCAGGAGGCTGCCTAGACCTTTCATATATTTCCCCCCACAGGCCACTGAGACACGCTACAGGCCAGGCCGTGTCCAGATGTTTGGTGCCTCCATAGCTGTATTTGCATAAGTGTCTGGGAATTGAAACTAGGTCTCCTATATGGCAAGCAAGGATAATACTACCACTGAACCACAGGGGACTCCTAAGGTTGGTGTGACCTTGAGACTATAGAAGAGAAAGCACAGCTATCCTCTGAAGCCACCTGTGGGACGGAATACATTGCCCTGTGACACTAGACTTCAAAATAAAACTTTAATGAGTGTTCTGGAAAATTGTTTTATAGGTACTTCCTAGAAAGATCATCAGTTCACAGGTTGTCTAAGTGCTGAAGATCTGGGAAAGCAGATGTGTGCGCTAATTTTAGATGCTAGGTTTCTTCCTTTTACTGGGGGTGTGTGGTGCAGGGGTGATAGTGGGGATAAAACAAATTAAATGTAAAATGAAAAATTTACTAGGACAGACTTGTGACTTGCAAGAATTAATAAGAGGCTATAAACTTTAGTCAGTTGCTAACCTTCCAAGACTTCCTGCCCTGCTGCATCTGTGTCCTTTTGCTGTAGCATGTTTGGTTTGCTGCTCATGTCTCTGAACAAGAATGAGGAAGTGAAACACCTGCAGCTTTTACTTTTTTTTTTGTCAAGTTGCATGTTGGGATATATGTGTAACTAATTCATATGCCAAGTTCCCCACTCTCCCCCATTTTTTTTAATATTTATCCTCCAAGTACCTCTAGTTGCCACCTCTAATGATAACACAATGACTCAGTAGTTGTATGGGGATGAATAGTGAATGAGTAAAAACTTTGGAAAGAAGAAGTGGTTGGACTGCAGTCAATGTCACAGCCCTTTATGTTCTCTGCTCAGCTGCTATTCTGCTTAATCCCCTTTTTTATTTGAATCCTAAAGTCATAAACTACCTTCAGTTTTGCTAATACGTCTTAAATTCATATTGCAAATAATATGCCCCTGATTATTGAAATATTTTTTTCTCTTAAAATTTATCATGTTTCATTACAATTGTATGTACCCCCTTATAGAGGCTATTTCTGCATCTGGTCTTTTGACAGGCACTAGTAAGTCTGAGTTGTGTTGTGGGTTTATAATGCAGTGACTGTTTGCAGGTGTGCTTGGCAAATATATTCGTTTTAATCCTCGTGCTCAAGTTCTTTGCAGGTGGATGCTATATCAATTATTCTTCATTCCTAGGGGCTTGCTATTTATGAAAAATGTAATCATTTTTTAAAATTCACATTTTTTAAATCATAGCAGGGTTTTCTTATGCTGTTAGTAGTGATGTTCTCGGAATAGTTCTCATTAGCTCTACTGCAGTAGGGTGAGTGCTGGTGAGTCTTTAGTGCCAGGAGTCCAGTCTTTCATTTGGGTACTGAAGCCCTCTGCCAGCGTATGGTATGGTTCTGTACTTTTTCTGTATAAACCTGTAATAATGTTGAGCACCAATATAGCTGGATGTAAAGGCAACTGAAATTGTCAGCATAGGAGGTATTTCTGCAGTTAGAATGAGCCGGTTTGCTCTCTGCTGTTAGCTGTACCTCTCTGCTTTCTCTTCATCAGAAACGTTCTCACCAGTTTCCATTATCACTTCCATCAGCCCCACAAAGTCACCCTCTGCTAAAGAAATGCCGGAGTCATTAGGGGAGGGGCTCTCTGCACTCTTCTGCTCCTTGGGGTATTGAGCAGTTGCACTTTCACTTCTTATATCTCTGGTAGTCCCAGGCAACTCCCCAGAAGCCTGGTCTGGGGCACTAGGTGCATCATCTGAGCTTGGGACAGGAATAGTGCCAGTATTTCCAAAGGATGATCTCTCAAGCACGGGGGAGGTCATTGGTGTGAAAGAAAAGCAAAGGGGGCTGTTACCATTGGGTGTGTGAAAGGAACTGGGGTGATCTGAGTTTGGGGTGCCAACTGGTGCCGTGTTCTCCAGAGTCAGCCGGGGATGTCGGCAGCCTTTCACGCTCTTCAGGTTCTTGAAGCCATCCTGCTTTTCACAGTCTGGAGATTCTGCTATGAAAGGGAATTTGGGGCTTTCTGATGTGGTGGACTGAACTGGACTCCTGATAGGGCCAGCCTCTTTATTTTTGCTGTTCAAATTGTTCCTTTCTTCCTCTACTGTCACCACCAGGGAGTCCCAGGCTCTGCCTCGTTCTGTTGGCCAAACAAAAGTTTCCTTAACTCCAGAACCAAGGGAACTTTGGCTTCTGTCCATGTCACTAGCTCTTGAAGGTGAAGGGTTGGCAAAATTCTCTCTCAGAGAAGCTGAGCATGCAGCGATGCTGGAGAGAGCAGGGGGCTTCTTGCGGCCTGGTCGTCTGGAGGGAAAGATCATTGGGATAGAGCTGATGGGTGTTTGTGGAGCACTGTAGAATCCAGGTCTCTCGAAGAAGGGGGTTGACATGAAGGCCTCAAACTCTCTCAGTTTCCTGTCTTCGTCCCGCTGGTCAGGAGAGCTGGAACTTGGATGGGAGAAGTCTCCCCTGTGCTGATTGACACTGGGCGGGCTTCCATGTTTGCCCACGTCTTGGTAAAAATAATGAGGGAAGGGAGATGTGGGGTCATTCCTCCTGCGTAGTAGGTTCATTGGGGAAGAGGACCTAGAGAAACTGGGTGAGCGGACACCTAGGAGACGGCCCAGATGGCCCAGCAATGGGGTAGAGTGGTTTGCCTCTTCGTTCTCTTTAATTTGCTCCAGTGGCTGGAATTCCATCTCTTCTTTCTGCATGCTGGGGGAAGCAAAACAGGCTGCTATACACAGTAATTCACTGAGAATGCAATATAGGGTTTTCCTTTTGTGGGGTGGGGGCAGAATACCAAGTAGGGGTCAGTTAAGATTGGGTTGGGAGGCAAGCTTGGGGAAACTTTAGCCCCACCCCTATGCTACCATAGAATGTAATAGCAGGGCCTTGGACTGGGAATCTCAGGCTACAGACAGGAAGAGGGGGCATTGCACACAATGGGGTAGAACATGACCACAAGTGCTTTGTGACAGAATGGTGAACGTCTCTCCCTGGGCAATGCAGATGCAGTCTCTCATTGTGATTCCACACCCAAGCGAGGATCTGAAAGCACTGACATCCAAAGGAAAGGAAATCTACTACTCTTGTATTGCACTGCCTTGTGTAAAGTCCAGCGTGCACCTAGATGCCATCGGTCATTTCACTTAGTGGCCTTTAGCTTCACCCACCTGATGTTAAAGGTTGAGCCAAGGAATGATGGCCGCTTGTACTCAGCAGTGGCTGCGGTGTAAGGTGGCTGAGGGTTGGAATCATTCCAGTATAGGTCCTTCTCCAAAATGGGAAGATCCTGGTGCATTTCATCCACAGCCAGAAGGGAGACCTGTAATGGGGGTGATGGGATTGTCAGACTCAAGGGGAGTAATGTTGTAATTGTGCATAGTTTATCATTGACAACAAAGGGAACTTTTACTCTGCCCCAAAGAACTCAGTCTGATATGGCAAAGGAGTAGGGAAGGGATGTAACATGAGAGCAAAGTGGATAAGCAATGGGCTTGATACATGGATTGAGAGTTACTAGTTTGTTTTCTTATGATGTCATAGATTCATAGAGAAATAGGGCTGGAAGGGTTGGTCTTCCAGAGGTTGTCTAGTCCAGCCCTTTGCCTGAGGCAGAATCATCCCTATCCAAATCACTGTATGCAAATCCCTAATCTAAACCCTTCATAAAACTACTGTCAGCCCTGATGCAACACAAGGCATAAAACCCTAACCTGCTATAGGTAAAGCAGGGGGACCACAGCAGCCAACATCCTGGCTCTATAGGCAGTCATTAATGTACACCTAAGAGATCCACTGCTACAGAGGAATGCAAAAACCCCCGCAGTCCATATCAATCTGACCATGCGGTGCAAAGGGGCAAGACCTAGCCAGGAACTTCCAGCATTAAGTCCCAGCAGGAGTATTGGCACACCCCAGTCAAAATCCTCAGCTGTGGCTGCAGCCAATATCCAATGCCTCTGAGAAAGGCTTAAAAATATCCTGACACTTGTAGTAGAAAGCAGGTGAGGGGGACAACCAGCAAAGCCTCCAAGCATGGGAAATACCCATAGTAGAACAAAGACATGGCTACACCTCTGTCATCCACTACCAGTGGCTGTCCAACCTCTTGAACACTTCCAGTGATGGAGAGTCCACAACTTCCCTTGGCAGTCTATTCTACTGCATTACTGTTCTAACAATATTTTTCCCCCAATACCCAATCTAAACCTACTTTATTTCAACTTCAAGCCATTGATCCTACTCCCTTCAGCAAAAGAGAAAAGAAGAATGAACCCAGGCCTCAAGACCTGCTGTCTGTCACCCCTGCATGATGGAAGAGTGACAGGGAGGAGATGCTACATGGACAGTTCACCCATGGCCTCCCTTCTTGTGTCTGGAGACCTTCTAAGCTGCCAGATGCTGCCCTCCTCTTTCTAAAAGCTGTGTTGTGTGGGTTATCAGGTCCCGTGGTTACCTGCAGGTTCCTGTCAATGAGCCAGTTGGTTTCAAAGTCATCGTCATCCTCTCCAAATGGGTTGATGAGCTGCTCAGCCACCTATGCAGTGACAGCAATGGCAAGGGTCACTGATGAGGCTTGGATTCCCCTCCCTGAGAGGGGACCTGTGGGTTTACTGGGCCCCAGAACAAGGCTGGGCTGAACCTTGGAAATAAATAGCTATGTATTTAAACTGACATTACTGTTTTGAATCAGCAGTGTTGTGGGAGTTAAAAAGAATGTGCTAATAGTCCGGCAACTGCCAGGGGAATTTATGGTAAGGTACACATTTGCTCTTTACTCTGTTCTGCCCAACAACCTTACAGCTAAGTCTCTCTCATCGGTCACTGCAGTCTCTGGATTCAGACTTAGGGGTGGCCACAAGGCAATGCTGTGCAAGGCCAGTGCAGTCAATGCCTCAGACCACCCTCCAGCTGGGCCAACAGAGCTTCCTGCCACATCCCAAGCTGGAGCAATGGGAGCCACTGCTGCAGACCACTCCCAATCTGAACTAAGGAAGCTCCCTGTCCCAGACCAGCTCCCTGTCCCAGCTGCTCAGGCCCAGCTAGTTTAGGGGCTGAAGCTAAGATTTTTTTGCAGGGGGAGGAGCACTCAGACATTGAGGAGACTTCAGCATTGTCCCCAGCCTCAGCTGGCCTACAGAGAGCAAGCTAGGCACTGGCACTTGAATGGGTGTCTGTTTCACAGCAGCTTGGAACTACGGTCATTAAGTCTAGTGGGCAGCCCTCAAGGCAGTTTGAGAAACTTCTGCCTGGGACTGGAAATCAATTCCAGGCTTCCCAGGTAGAAAGAAGTGTCTTTGCGGTTCAGAGTGCATGTCCTTAGACTCACCTTTAACCAGCCAGCGTAGAAGAAGAACTGCAAGAGAGTGAAGACAGGCACAAAAAGATCCAGCTCATGGCCAGGATAGGCCTTGGCTGGGTCCAGGAACTGCCGGCCGATCAGACAGGCCAGGAAGAAGCTATAAACAGCCACTGTGACCACCTGTGGGGATGGGGGCAGCAGGAAACAAGCAGAGGCAGGCATAAGTTCCCAGCTTGCTTCCCCCCAATTCCTTTTGACCTTACCAGCCTTCTGACCTCACCAGCCTTTGAGCTGAGGAGCTCTTCAGGACTGCTCACCCCATGGCCTTGCTAGGGTTAGTGTTTACAAAGGATGGTGTCTCTATGCACAGGGATGCCTTTCTGCTGAGGTTTTCATATGTAACCCCCACTCCTCCCTCATGTACCTTGCATTTAATCTCAGTACTGTTTCTTAAATGAACATATAACTACAGGGGAGAGATAAATCAAGGACAGTTGTGCAAGTGCTTTGCTCCTCCCTGGCAAGGATCACAAAGCACATAGGAAAAGAAGTCTCATAATACCCTGAGAAGGGCAGGTGAGGAAGCTGACGCATGCAACTGCTGAATGCCCTGCCCATGGTTGCACAGCAAAGCCATTGGCTGTCTGACAAAGCTGGTTCCTACAGAGCAATGAGTTTAGAAAGCAAGACTTTGTAGGGTCAAATGAGCCCACCACTACAGGCTGCCTCCCAGATCCTTGGACTTCTGCTTCTGGTCATTAGCTGAACCCAATGTAGACCAGTATAGACCAGCTGAAAGAGTCCCTTAATATTCCCATTTAGGACACACAGAATGCCTGTAGTGTTGTAAACCCCGAACATTCACCAAATCATGAGCAAGTCTCCCCAAAACTATGATCTTGGCACAAAAAACACAAGATAAAATATGACAACATAAAAAAAAATGATTTTCTCTCTTGGAAATGATCTTGAAATAATATTGAAAGACTAATAAATAGTCTTTTTTTTAAGCTTTTCTCTGTTACCATGAGGGCTGGGGCTTTTTTTATTTTGTGTAATTAAAATAGCAGTTGCCATGCAGAACCCAGAAGCAGGGGCTTTCAGGGAAGCACTAATGCCTTGAGGCTTGTAAGTGGGCAGCCCAGCACCTGCCACCTCTCTGTGGCTTGTGGTGCCAAGGATGCCATATGACATGCACCCTGCTTGGGATGGAAGTGCCCTGCAGTATATAGAAGGACATCTAATGTGATACACCCAGTGCAAGGAGAGCAGGACCTTGGGTCAGGGATTATGGCTAGGGCTACCTGTTGGAACTCCCCTTGCAGGAGGATGGAAGCAAAGAGAGTTGCTTCCATGGTAAAGGTTGAGACTCCCCCATGGATAGATTCATCCTCCCAGAGCCCGTAACCTTCCCCACAGCTAGGCAACCCAGTTCAGTGCAAGCTCAGCAAAGTAGGCTTAGTCCACACTGTATCTTGCTTTCCAAGGACCCACCGATAACTTGCTCCTGGCCTTGTGCCATCATTAGCTGAATCCCCACACACTGCTCTGTGCAGAAGGCTGTGACCGTGTTCAAGGACACCTAGTCACCCCCTGGGCAGAATGCTGGGGGGAGCTGGCTCTACTAGTGCAAGGCAGTAGCACATGGTGCAGGTGAGCATGAGAAGGGGTGACACAGTGTTGTCTCACATGCTGTGACCACCTAAGACACAGTTGTGACTGTGTGTGACTGTGATATTCTCTTGTCTTTGCCCCTGGTTTCCAGGAGGCTCTGTTCTGCTTGGGCTTCTAATAAATTCCTCCTTTATTGTCACCTAGTTCCTTGTTTCACAGCAGGAGTGAGCATTACCTGAGTAACTGGACTGTACAAGACAAAGGAGGGGGCTCCTGCCACAGTGTCTATCCTGGGCCTGAGGCCAGGAAGCTCTTGAATGGTTAAAAGGCCTAGTGTGTCTTACTCAGATAAACAGCTCTCCCTGCCACCGGGAACATAGGAGGCACCTCCCAGTTCAACCCATGCTGAATTCTCCAGCAGCTTGAGAGCAGTGTCCTCATTGTCAGCATAGTTAGGAGGGAAGAGCCTGGTTCACTTACAACCTGAGGAAACAGGCTTTGGGGTGGATATATGTAGAGAAGTGCACATGCACGTGAACATATAAAGTACATTTGTGTGTATTGTGTGTGGGGACACATTGGCTACTGCCTTGCACTAGTAGAGCCAGCTCCCCCCAGCATTCTGCCCAGGGGGTGACTAGGTGTCCTTGAACACGGTCACAGCCTTCTGCACAGAGCAGTGTGTGGGGATTCAGCTAATGATGGCACAAGGCCAGGAGCAAGTTATCGGTGGGTCCTTGGAAAGCAAGATACAGTGTGGACTAAGCCTACTTTGCTGAGCTTGCACTGAACTGGGTTGCCTAGCTGTGGGGAAGGTTACGGGCTCTGGGAGGATGAATCTATCCATGGGGGAGTCTCAACCTTTACCATGGAAGCAACTCTCTTTGCTTCCATCCTCCTGCAAGGGGAGTTCCAACAGGTAGCCCTAGCCATAATCCCTGACCCAAGGTCCTGCTCTCCTTGCACTGGGTGTATCACATTAGATGTCCTTCTATATACTGCAGGGCACTTCCATCCCAAGCAGGGTGCATGTCATATGGCATCCTTGGCACCACAAGCCACAGAGAGGTGGCAGGTGCTGGGCTGCCCACTTACAAGCCTCAAGGCATTAGTGCTTCCCTGAAAGCCCCTGCTTCTGGGTTCTGCATGGCACTTGTGTTTACGTGTGGATTGCATGTCAGGTATATGAGGAACAGAAGGGTGTGTGTGTGTGTGCATGTTGGATGGATGTTTATGCTGAAATACACAAGTGCTTTGGCTGTATATGTGGGGCTGCCTATTCGGCGATCTATACGGTTGTGTGTGGCTCTGCGTATATATATGGCCATCTGGCATCAACTTCACTGGGCCAGCCACACCACCTGGATGTCTGACTCCAGACTCCCGAATCAAATTTTATTGTCCCAGCTCAGCCAAGGCATACGCTCAAGAGGAGGGCAGAGAAAACACTTCAAGGATGTCTTCAGGGCCAGTTTGAAAAAAATGCAGCATTGACATCAACTCATGAGATTCTATTGCCCAGGACTGCCCCAAATGGAGGAAAAGTAGGTTGGAAGGATCTCAGGACTTGGAAACCTGATGACGACAACAGCAGATGGAGAAGTGGGAGCTGCAGAAACAGTGTGTTGCAAATCAAGAAGCTGGAGCCACCCAGCCAGCATGGAAACATGTGCCCAAGTTGCAACAGAGTTTTTTGATCCCAGATCAGCCTTGTCAGCCATCTTCGGACCCGCAGATAAGACATTCATGGAAGACAATCCAATCATTCTTGACTGTGAGGGATTCCCAAAGAAGAAGGTGTGTAGAGATGTGTGTGTGGATGGTAATGTGGAGATATGAATGTGGGTATTTAGGTGGGTATATTGGAGTCCATGTATGGGTGCACAAGGAATGGAGTCCATCCATAAATATTTCTATTTGTCACGGGCACATATGTATATACACCCATACATACATATCTTATGTCACATATGTATGTATGGGTGTATATGTGATATATAGAGAAGTCTATATGCCTGTGGGGTATGTACTATGGAGTCTGTACATAGGTATGTATGGGGGGTTCCTGTGTGTTTCAAGGAGTCTGGCCAGTTCCTCAGCATGTCAGTTCTCTGGTTTTAGTCATTTCCCACAAAACTGTGGAGCAGAAAGGCAGGATCAGAACAGTGAATACACTGAGTGCATGCTCTCACCTGAGTGTAGACCAGAGGGATGCTGATCCAGTCATATCCGTAGAGCCTCCCACACTGGCTTCGCAAAGTATTTAGTTCCTGACAAGTAAGGAACAATAGAAAAGGACTGGACCATTTACCATAGATCTCCTTGTTTCCCTTCCCAGAGCAGTCACGTCATATTAGCCCACCCCATGTACTTTTTACCCTGTACTGTTCCTCTTAGGGGATCTTAACCATGCTCAAACACATCTCCCACGTACAGGGAGGAAGTAATTTGATTTATTTGGTCCTGAGCATCCCTCATTTCTACCATCCCAGTGGAGAAACAGTGGGATACCAGGCTTGCTTGTCCTAGAGGAAGACTTTGTCTCCTGGTGATGGGACAGGGACTCATGACTTAATTCTCTCCTCATACTGGTACAGATCTGAAGTGGCTCCCCTTGGGTCAGTGGAGCTACATCATTGTGAAGCAACATAAGTGAGAGGAGAGCCACATCTCTTCATTGCTATGTGCCTAGGCTCCCCCATGCCCCTGCTGAACTAGCTTACCATACAAAGCCCTGGAAAATCCTTTCCATCCATCCACGCCATATCTCCTCAGGGTGAGAGGGTTTTGGTTTTCTCCCATTCGTTGGCACACAGGAGTGGATGCATAATGGGATGTGATAGGCTCTTCCTAGGCTCTTCCATAAGCCCCATTTCACCCTGACCAGCAGTGATTCCCTTAGCTGCACACAGGAAGGAGGACAGGGCTGCTTGCTCTCAGATTCCCGCCCCCGCACTCGCTCTTTCCAGGACTCACATTGAGGATGCCCTGAAGGAGCACGCTGTCCCGGATCCTGCCCTCATTCCGCGCCTTCACAGCCAGGTTTGAGAACCACACGCATGGGATCCAAAACTTGTTGTGGGGGGAATGCAGGCTCTCAAGCTTCTTGTGTTCTTCTGGTGTCATGAGGCCTACATGGACAAGAAAAGATATGGATGAGTGCGGGAGCAAGGACAACAGGAAGCCACAGCCCCTCCTCCTCAATGGCACATGAAGAAAAACCCAGGCTCTTGTGAGAAGGAAGCCAGGGGTATGCAGCCCAAAATACAAACAAAGCAAATTGTTGTTCTGGGACCCACACTTCAGAGAAGGTCTCATGGTGTCAAGGAAATTCTGCAGTTCCTGGGTCTGCCTGGTCCCTGCCAGGATAGCCATGGCAGTTAAGGTGTCTTGCTGTGCCTCTAGAGGCAGGAGCTCAAGACCTGCTCTCAATTTATGCCATAGACTACCTCCAGCTGACCTAGCTAAAGGGATAATAAAATCATAGCAAATTAGGTTTAGAAGGGACCTCAGGAGGTCATCTAGTCCAACCTCCAGCTCAAGGTAGGACCATCTCCAACTAGATCATCCCAGCCAAAGCTTTGTCTAGCCAGGTCTTAAAAACCTTCATGGATGGAGATTCCACCACCTCTTTTCAGTCTGGATACCTTGCTTTTCAGACTGGGGATTCAAAGAGAGATGGTGTGGTGTTAGCCACATCACCCTCTTGTGTGCCTTTGGCTATAAAAACTGTGTGCTTTAACCACATTAGCCTGCTGGCTCTTTGCCTTTGACCTGACCCAGTACAGGAAGAGGTGCTGCCCTTGGGTTAGGGCAGGCTTGTCCAATTTCTAAGCAGTTGAGGGCTGTACGCTGCATGACCTGCATTAGTGGGGCCACAGGCACCTTGGTTCCACAGCACCATGTGGACTTCCTAATCCCCACTCTGAGCTCCCAGGCCCTGGGCTGCCCTCACATCGCAGGCTGCATCACACCATACTGCCCCCCTGGGGCAGGTGAAGAAGAAGTCAGACAAGGGAGTGTGAGCCCAGACCCCAGCCATCACACCAGTAAGAGCAATGGGGAGAAGTGGCCACTGGGTGGAAGCCCAGAGGCCACAAGTTAATCCCTGCCAGTTGGACAGCCCTGGGTTAGGGTATTTCCAGCCTGAATATCTTTAAGGACTGGGTATTTTGTGACGTCCTTCTTTGAGGCCTGCACCTTGGCAAGGTGAGAAAGCTTGTGTGCTTCAGTGATCCTGAGAGCTTTGCAAACAGGACAGGACAAAGACGAGGGACTGGCTGAAAAGTTGTTTGCAGGCCCTCCAGGCCTAGAGCCTCTCCTTGTAAAAAAAACAATTCTAGACACACCAGGTCACCACCTTGGCAAACAGCACAATGGACATGAATGGCAGAGCCTTTTTCATACAGTATGCAACACCTGATGGTGCATGAAGGATTCAGATTTTACTAGGTGTTTAGAGCAGAGGATCAGGACAATAGCAAGGCCAGTGCTGTTGAAATTACAGCATTCTTCTGAGTAGCTTGCAATGACTCTGTTTACCCAATGAAGGTGGTCTAGGTCTCAGGTACATACAGAGCTCTCCCAGGCAGTGTAAACCCTGAAGCCTGGGGTGCTTCTCCTTTTTCTGTCCCTCAATGATGCTCTGGAAAAAGGTATTTTTTTAATTGAAAGGCTTGGGGGACAATGCTAGATGAATGGGTTATTCACATCAAGCAAGCATGCTCTTTGACAAGGAAAAAAACAGAGGACATTCTACCCACGAGTGCCTCCAAAACAATGCTGCACAAATACTGTACACAACTAAACAATCACAATGATAAGCATTGTAATCTCCTTTGGGGAAACTGCAGATGGAAAAAAATGGGGCACTGAGAAGTGCTGACTTGCTAAAGGTAACATAGTTGGTATGAGAGATGGTATTAACACAGCTGCATCACTTCCTTTCTGATCCTCAGCACACCCCCTCTTTATTGGTCCCATTCAGTTGAAATCAAAATCCTCAAATTGACCTTAAAAAGTGATGAAACTAATGACCACATCACTGTTTCCTGGGGTTTTCTATACCCAAGCTGCTATCAGAACTCCCCTTACTATTAGCTGCTCCACGTTAAAATGAAACTTGATATTCAAGGTCCTCACTGTCGGATTGACAAAAGAAATCCATATATAACACACTTGCCTAAAGCAGAGGTAGGGAACCCCTGGCATCCATGTCACAACATAGCACGCAAAGGCATTTTGCTTGGCATGCACATCTCAGGGAAGAGGCTGGGACTGTGCTGCCACAACAAAGGTCAGGCCCCTCACGGCTCCCCCGCTTTCCACCCTTGGCATGTCAACATCTTACAAGTCAAGGTTGAGGGTATTTTTGGCACTCTGCCCACAAATCTTGCCAATCCCTGGTGTATAGGAAAGGAGGTGGAAAATGTAGGCAGTTTAGTGAAAAGCAGTGACCTTCAGTGGCCACTAGATAGCACCAGCACCTGGGAAACAAGTCTGGAATGAGCTGAAACTGCCTTTGAGCCTTACTAGTATGGAGAGACGCCTGGAAGTTAGCAGGTAAAAATTCTGATCTGTCTTTCTGCATTTCTTTCATTCTTCTCTTAATGTGTATTTTCTTTCTGACGGTATCTACATCACTAGCTGCCAGTCAACCATCCCTGCAAGAGTAGTGCCCCCTCTTCCCCTCCCCACCAATGCATAAATATGTGCAATAGTTACCCTGACTTCCAGTAAAATGCACCACACTGCAGGTGTGCATTTAAGTCCTATTGTCCAGCCTCTGGCTGGCTTTGTTGGCCCTTTGCAATGTGGTTCCCTTCATCTTCTCAGTGAAGCTCAGAATTCATAAGCAAGTGTCTACTAACAGATTTTGGGCGACATGGTCATTGGATGTTTAGCCACTGACTCAAGTGGGTGCAGGAATGAGGGTGATCCAGTGCCCCTTGGCAACCTTACAGTAACAAACCAGAGCCCGCTGCTATGAATGTATCAGGAATCCTGCAATAATAAGTTACTATACTCTTGTCATGTGGAATTAATCTGTGTGGACCCCACCAGCTGTACAATGACAAGTGTGTGTGTAAAAATGGAAAAATGAATTGTGATTAGAAAAGAGATTTTGTGCCTACGCCCCCAAATGGCTAGTGGTTCGACTTCTTGTGGAGGGCAAGCAGGTTGGTTTGGGTTTCACTGACCCCTTACCCAACTCTGACTTTTTGAGTCACAAGTGTTTTAGTGAGCATCTTCATTTGTTTTATGAGCCACACAGTCATTTTTCACACACTTCAGTCAGCTGCACTCCCAAGACTATAGTTTGTCCTCTGGATGATGACACCAGAAGGAAGGTGCTGGTACATACCTGCTCTCACAATATGTTTCATACTTGGGAAGCGCTTGTAGACAGCAGTGCTGACAGAGCGGAGGATCAGCACACTGCACAGGTTGCTGTAGCGCATCATTGTACGCCGCAGGAGGCGCCCATATTCATCCTGTCCATCCACATTACAGGAGACCAAGTTCATGATGCGGTCAGGCCAAGGGATGCTCTCATACTGTGCCCACCAGCGAGACACCACTAGGGCCACGTAGAAACCTGGAGTGGAATTGGCCAAGTTAGCCCATCCAGATGCCCACCTGACATGGCAGAGTTAGGGGGAGAAGTCTATCTGTCTACATAAGCATGAGAGGCTTCATTGCAAGGATCTTGTCAGGCATGTTCAGTAGCATGCAGAAAGGGACCTTTCTCTTAGGAATCTTCCAACAGGCTGGGTGCTGCTGGCATTCAGAGCCTAGGTCCCCTGCCCTTGAGCAAAGCCCTAAATATTTCTATGCATACAAAGAAAAAATGCTGTCTGCTGGGAGCACCTGTCTCATGTTTCACAGAAGTGATCAGAGAGGGACCACCCTCTTTGGAGGCCTTTCTAGAAGAAGGAGGGCAGGGGAACTCCTGCCCCCCCATCCCAATATCCTACAGAACAGTGTTGGGGAGGAAGAGAAAGCATCCCTTCATTCTCCCAGCCCTGTGTTTCTAAGCGAAGCTTCTTACCCAGTACGAAGGACACGGGGATCAGCTCAGCGTAGTTGTTGCAATACAGAGCCAGCTTCTCAAACATCAGCCTTTGGCTTTCATTCAGGACCAGCCTGAAAAGGGGACACAGGGGCACAGTCAGGGGCACAGTTCTGGCTGTAAGCTATGCAGAAGACTGCCCTCTTCAGCCCTGCCTGTGTGGGAGTCTCCTGAGTAAAGCAAACCTGGGCCTTTCCAAGGGAAACACGCTCCTGATCAAACAAGGAAATGTCACTGTAGGAGGCACCACATGATGCCATCCTGTTCAGGACACCTGCCAAAAGAAATCACCCACCGGCCAGCTCAGGACTTATTTTTGTGGCAAATGAGCAATTGTCTGGCTTGACAGGCAATATGTAAATATCCCACTTAGGAGAGCCATGATGGTCAATGCAGAGATGCTGTTTGATGTTAGAGAAGTGCTGCTGAGCTGGGTTGAGCACTACCATGAGGATAAAATCATCCAAAACCTCTGTTGCAGCGTTTCCCATTCAAACAGTCTCTAATGATGGCAAGGTGGACAGGTACATCTTCTGTGTACATCAGAGCTGCTTTCTGGGCTTAGCACTACAGAGACACACCTTCACTTAAGTTATAAGAGCTCACTGACTTCCCCCATAAGAAACAGAGATGTCCCCCTCCCTCCAAAGACTCCATGACAAACCAGTAGGCAGCAGGAAGCTGGGCAGAGACCAGCTGCAGAAGAACAAGCAACCGGGGAACACCACTAGGAGAGAAGAACAGCAAGGGAGAAAGCAGTGGCTGCAGCTCAGTAGTTTAATCCACAACCAGTGCCATAATGAGGGGGGTGAGTTGGGCAACCACCCTGGGTGCTGAAGCAAAGGGGCGCCAACAGGCACTGCCCCGACGGGGCCGGACATGGTACTGAGCCACAAGCTACTCATTTGGAGGAGCACAGGGATGGGGGAAGGACAGCTCCCGCTGCTGCGTGCACTCCTGGGCAATCATGGAGGGGCATGTGCCCCCCTGAATCTGTGTGCGGGGCAAGAACGGGCAGTTGCTGCAGGTTGCCCTGGGCACCAAACTTCATTGTTACGGCACTGGCCACAACACCTGAAGGCAGGCTGAATACTATGTTAATTAGAAACCTCTGTTCAAGGGCAAGGCCATGGGACTCAAAAGAGGCAGATCCCAGTGTACAAAAAGCCTGGCACCTCAACCAGAGAGCTCAGTCTGACCCTAACTCCCACTGGGAGCAGAACTCTTGCTGGCCTGTGTTGTAACAGAAAGGAGTGGCAAAGAGCCAGCAGCCAAAGGGTAGGAGGTGGCTGGGATCCAGAGAGACTCAGAAGGGGTTTATCAATAACTGGCATAGAACTGGGTCTGGCTGATAGAGGTGGTAAAGAGATCACAGGAGTGCCCGAGAAGCACCCAGCACATAGCCCAGGAAGGGTCAGGGACCACAGGGGGCTGGCACAGAGAGTGCAAGCAGCCTTGCCTGGATCAGAGACTCCCGGTGCTGGGACAATGTGTGAGATGGGGCCAGGGGCCCAGAGAACAAGACTCAGAGAGGCTGAGAGGGCTGAAAGCCTTGAGCCTAGTGTTATCAATGGTGAGTTGCTAAGGCTGAGAAAGTCTGAACAAGTGGGCCAGGGCTGGAAGCCTGCAGCCAGAATTTGGCCTGAGGCTTCTACAAAAATTGTGGACGGTGTAAAACCTGCAAGGCATAGGAAGGGCTGTAGGGGAGCATGGAGACCACAATTTTATCCTATAAAACCATTAGGCCAGAGGGGTCTGGTCCCCACATAGAGAGCCAGTATCGACAGAAGTTGGAGCCCTGCAGGGAGAGCTGGTGTTGAGGGGGGTCAGAGCCCCAGAGTGATTGAAGGCAGTACCCCAAGGCCAACAGGCAGTACATGATGGGGTTGAAGCCCCAAATTGGCCAGGTCAGTTGGAGCCCAAGGAGGACGGCATATAGAAAGAGAGCACCCAGAGCTCACCAGGCTTGAAGGGCAGCCTCCCCTTTGTATTATTTCCATCCAAGTGTGGCAGGTGAGGCAGTACGGTGACACCCTGAGAGGCTAGAGTCAGAGCAGGGCAGGACTAAGGCTTCTACCAGGGAGCATCATGGCCACCCTTGGGGTCCATCCTGTTACAGTCCCAATACCCAGTGTCAGGGCCTCTGATCACACATGCCTTGCTTGGCTGGGCCAAGCACCTGAGCTACCACACCTGTCACTGATCCCTGACTAATGTAACTGCCCCAGTTCTCTGCAGCTGGATTGGCTGCCAAAAGCACCACTCACCCCTTGTAAGCACACCTGCAGCATCAGGCTGCAAGCATGCCTTGACAAAGCCTCAGTCTATTCTAGCAAGCCTTGCATTCACTGTTCTCTCTGGTTCTCCTGACTTCTGATCCCAACTTTGGCTCTCCTGACCCTGATCTTTGATCTCCCCTGAAACTTGGTGCTGGCTCTGCTCTCTCTAGTTTCCCTTGCATCCTGACTCAGCTTGGCTTCCTTGACCCTGATCCCAGATTCTGCTTGGAACCTGGCACCAGCTCTCTGACCCCTGGCTCCTGACCTCAGCTCATGTCTCAGACTGTCTCTCTTGGATCTCCCCTCTCAGCTCCTGTGGACCTGGGTCCCACACTCCCTGCTCCACCAAACCAGGCCCCAACCTGTTGATCTGGTAATTTGTACCCCCATCCTCTGACATCCTAGTTGTCCTGCCTATATTCCAACTGAATCCGCACATCCAGATTCAGGGAAACCACCCTGCTGGGGGATGGAGTAGCCCCTGTATATGTGTAGCCTGTTTATTTACATCCATGGATCCAGGAACTGCTCTTCTGGGGATGATTATTCGCTGTCCCACCAAGGAGTAACCATCCTTCTTCTGTGAAGATGGTCATCTCATGTATGTTTCACTAGGGACTGGGAGAAAACTCTACTCCCACTGACATGGAAGAGCCATTAGATGCTAAATCAGGGGCGGGCAATTATTTTGGGTGGAGGGCCGCCTACTGAGTTTTGTCAAGCCTTGAGGGCCGCATGGGTAGCCCTGTTCCTTAACAGGTGTTCCCCCCTCTTTACCAACTTGTGACTAGAAGTCCCGCCCCCTGACCCCTGACCTTTGCCACCAGAAATCCCTACCCTTGCCCCCAGAAGTACTCCATTTAGCAAGGGGGTTTGCTATCTCGGAACCAGAAAAATACCAAATTATATTCTAAAAAGCAAACATCTAAAACATTCATTATTTGATTTTTTAAAATATTTTATGTCCTGGTTTACATGTGTTTGTGTAGTGTACATAGAGGTGATTGTATATAATAGCTTAAAATTAAGTCTTACTCTTATATACTGTGGGGGGTGGGTATAGGTTTGTGGGGGGCTGTGGGTGTGTGGGTATGTGGAGCATGGGTGTGCCTGTGGGGGGTGGATAGGTGTGGGAGGTGTGGGTGTGGGTTGAGGGAGTGTGTGGGGGGTGTGTGGATATGTGGAGTGTGGCTGGGTATTGGGCTTGTGGAGGGCTGTGTCTGGGGGAAAGGATGGCTGGGGTGTGTGAGGGGATGTGGGGATCTGCATGTATGGCAGTGCAAGGGGGGGTGTGGATGAGTGTGTATGGTGGGGTGTGCATGTAGGATTCACCGTATGAACACACACACACACACACACACACACACACACAGAGTCCCTTCCTATATACACACAGTCCCTCCCTACATACACCCACTCTGGGGTACTAGTGCAGGACCCCATGTTCCCGCAATTTGTTCATGCATCTGGGAGCCATATGGTGCTGGAGCAGTTTTGGGGCAGGAAGGCAGGGAAATGGCTGAGGGTGGGGTAGGCCTGGGCTGCTGCATCCTGCTGCCAGCTCCCCCTGGATCCTGCTGCCCTTGACTCCTGTCATCTTTGACAGGCAGCCAGGAGCAGATAAATATTAATTTTCTAATCTTTGGGGGGACCCTGTGGGCCAAATAGAATGGCTTGGTGGGTCAGATTCGGCCCATGGGCCATATTTTGCCCACCCCTGTGCTAAACTATGGGTGCAGACAGAAGTTACATTTGTTGTATGATTGACCCCTCTGAAAGCACTCTACAGCTGTGCCATGACACATGCACAGATGCAGAGTGCTTTAAAAGTGGCCAGTCTCACAACAAATTAATCCTCATCAAATGAAGGATCAGATGAACGTGCTCCACTTCGGAGTGCATTAGGGATATTCTGTTCTCCCCCCCTCCTCCAGTAGATGAATGTCTGTTAGGTTAGAGGGGCTGCTCTTACTCATGGTGCTTTATGTAAAGTGCCATGAGTTAGAGCAGGGGCCTGTGCATCTGTCAGCACCCTATGTTAAAGCAATAGAAAAGGAGCTTTCCTCCCTGGAAATCTATGTAAATCCAGGAAGCAGGTCTCCCCTCTTGTTTAAACTGATACCACTTCATATAGCCAGGATATATTTTAAATGTTTCTTGCTCAGTTCCTTTTTGCCCATATAATTATTTTTTATTCTACACAGCCCAGTCACCCATGGTAATGACAGGCAGAATCTGGAGAGATATCTCAGGGCCTGGGTGAAAGATGAAGCTTACCTGTAAATGAGACTGATGGTGAAGTAGAGAGTGATGAAGATAAGGAACTCACAGTAGAGGAGTTTGTAGATGCTCCCTTTCCATTGGAGCAGGAGCTGCGAGAAAGTGCCCAGGCGGGCATTAGCCACACGATTCGTGTATGTCACCGTCATCACAGATCCTGTTAGAAACAGAATAGACACAAGCTGAGGCTATCAGGCATCTTACCAAGGGAGTGGAGGCAGGGGCAGGCCTGGAGAGCTACAGCAAGTCCTTCAGATGGTGGATCTGAGTGAGCTAATAATGGATTTCTGTGCATTACAGGGATGCTATTGAGAAAGGGACACTGGAGAGGACAGCTCCTATCCCAACCATTGAGTGCCTTATAGTGAATTTAAGCACCCACATATGATTCCTTTCCACTCAACTTGAAAATCCACGAATGCATCTCCTTTCGCAACACACTATCATCTTGGTATTATGACAGAGTTGCAAAAAAAGCAGTGAGGAGGAGGAGGAGCCACCCACTTTTGGTATGAACAGTTTTTTTCTGGGACTTGAGCAGGGTGGAATAGAATTGGACTTAACTGCCTTAGTTTGCTTAGACTACTCTAGAAGTCCATCCCAGTAGAGAACAGATAGTAGCTCTAGCTCTCTCTGTGATCTAACTATCTAGCTGTCTGTCTATGCTTTTGTGATCTTCATGTTTATACCATGCCCAAGGGCTCAATACTTGAATGCCTGTGGCACCTCTGGATCTTCCATTTCAGGAAGAATGAACCTTGCAAAAAAAATCAAAACAAACAAACAAAAAAATGCAATACACTTTCATATTTCTTTTCAAAGGAATCCTCAAATGTCCTTACAATGCGTGCAAGAATTCTGGATCAGATGGGTCTTGTATGATAGATCTCTAGCTAGCAACCTAACCCGTAAGCGAGAACTATAGCAGAGCATAGAGTCCGACAATATTTGTGATGCCTGATAAAGAGAAGAGAGAATGTTGGTGATGAGGGGGAGGATGATCATCATGTGTCCGAGTCTTACTGAAAGGAGTGCTCAGGCCCTTTCCTCTGTGAAATCCCTGGCATTTGTAAAGAGCTTCTTCCCACAGTTACCAGCACAATCCAGTTTGCCACAAAGATGAGAAGGGATTTGCCAGCTTTATCTTTCCATCCCTCCTTCTTTTCCAGGTCCACACTGATGACTCAGAAAGCTTGGCCGGACCTACACATGAAATTTAAATGAGCAAATTAAAATAACAGTGCATCTTGCACAAGAACGGAAGATCATGCCTGGTGTCACAACCCAAAGTTGTGATTTTTGTTTTTGTGTGTGCTTTGGCACCACTGAATTATTTTCCCGCTAAATTGCAGCTTCTTTACACGGAGTTTTCTGCTGTAAAGAAGAACCCCGGTGCAAGGGAGAATTTCCCGCCAATTTGTAGCTTTCTTTGCATGGTGCATTTCTTTTGCATCTAAGAAATGCTCGGTGCAAAGAGTTCCCGCCATTTGTATTCTAATTCGAGCCCCATTATTGGCTTGTGTTAAATTATGCACACGTGGCAGCTAGCGATTGGCTTGCTAGCCATATAAGAGGCTTGGGTGGTTTCCGCCCAAGTTGGAGAACTCCGAGGAGAACCCCCGCAAGGGAGGACTCCACGAACACCAGGAGGAGGAGACTTCATGCTGTGTGAAGATCTCTAAGCACTGCGGAGCCTATCGGACCCAGCGCATTTAAAGCAGGCAACAGGGGTCTGATCAGCCTCTAGCCTCTCCCCGTCACCGAGCGCAATCCTCGACGTATCCCTCTCCCTGCGCGCACAAGGACCCACGGAGCCTAGCAAACTTCGTGTGAGTTTATTCAGAGCTCTTTGTCTCGAGTACTTTCTTCGGTTGGTGCAACGGGCTCGCGGTTTAGAGCCTCCAACCGGATGGGCTAGAAGAGTGTTCACGGGAAGGAACTCTAGTCCACCTCTTATCTTTTCTATCTGCAACTGTAACTCAAGCAAGTTTTCCTGCCTGCACCGCGACCATCTTTGGTGTAAGTAAACAATCTTTAAATCAACCACTACGCCTCTGTGACTAATTCTAGCCCGTGCGTGCCTTGCCGCCGCACAGTCTCCTCTGACCCCACATGCCCGGGCTGCTAGCCACAGCCCGCGTGCGCAAAGACGGGTCCGCATATTGCTCCCGGCCCGCACATGGTGACATGGATGGGATCGGGAGGCGGCTCGCACACCTGGGACCATGCAAAATAAACCAGTCCCAATTGATTTAATCTCCTGTGCTAGTTGCAAATGTAACCAATGTTTTATTATGCAAAATCATTCATAAATAACTGCATATCACTACGTGACTGTATCCTCCTTGTTGACACATCCTTCCTTAATTAAGGCATATTTCTCAGAACAGGCATTCAATATCTGTCTGAGGTTTTGCAAATGTCTCCATAGACCATCACTGGTACAAACTATTATGAGTTCTGCGCCATTGTTAAAACAACTACCCAAGACAGTGTCCTGTGATCAATGCCCTAAGCTATTCCATTCAGTCAATCAAAATCCATCCCATTTGACTGAAGCGTAACCTCCGAACTGATCAAAAGCTTGGAAAAACAAGTTTCACAACTAGACGACCCAAAACAGGATCCAGGCAGTTAGCAGTTGTAATGTGGTGGTCCCTCTCTACCTACTTTGTTTGGACTTTAATCGACCAACTATCAAGAAGGAATGCTTTGAAGCTATACAGTGAACAGTATAAGAATGAAACAGAGTTGCCAGGAAAGTGTGCAATCCAGGAGAGAAAGTGAAATCACTGCAGCATTGTAACCTGCACCCAGCTGATCACTCTGGGTGATGGATCCATGGCCAGTGAAGGCTGCAAAGACTGAATCGCTTCCTGCCTGCATTGGTGAGAGACACTCTTGCAGCTAAAATATACTAGGACTTTTGTGATAGCTCATTTACTGAATACTGGGAAGGAGTCTTTCTGTCATTTAGTTTTATAGCTTGTGTGTGGTATAGTTATTAAAGCCTCTCTGTCATTAATCAAATAAGGTGTTGTGTCAATCCAACTGAACTAGGTTTGAATCCTGCTTTTTCCTGCAACACCTGACTGGGAGCACTAACTCACATTAACAGACCTCAAAGCAGTCTCCTCTGGGTAATATCACTGTTCAGCTACTAAGTGGCTTGGGCTGGGCTTAAACTATCATCTAGAAGTGAAAGGCTTCACATTTTCTTCCCTGCTCTGTGAGGATCCCTGAGAGAGGAGACATAACTAACTTAAAATCTTTGCAGATGGGAACAAGACTGAGAGAAAAAACTGCACCTCCTGGTTGGGCTGAGGCAGAGTGCCCGAGGCAGAGGGAATAATGTCTTAACACAGACTCCAAAGAAGAGGGTTCAGAGGCCCGTGAACATGATTTATGAAAGAGAAGGTAGGATAAAGGGAAGAGAAAGGAGACGGGGAGAGAAGTGAGAAAGAAAGGGAAAAAAGGGTGTCTGTGAAGGATGAGTGAGACATTGATAAAAGATGAAGAATGTCGGGTAGAAAGGGGGGAAGCTGGAGATTTACTCAAACAAGTAAGAGCAGGAAAGTAGAGGAGGGAAAGGGAAGGTGAGAGAGCGAGGATGAGGGAAAGGGAAACGTGGGTTGGGACTGTGTTTAAATTAGGCTTGGGCTCCTCTCCAGGACTTAATGGTGATAGTTTAAACACAGCAGAGAACAGCAAAGCATGTTGATCCTCGGAAGCAGATTTCCACCCACAGACAAAAGCTCTTCTTGAATTGTAGTTCTTTGATGGCAGGGGAAACGCTATGAATCTGGATCTAAGAAGGCAGCTTTCCTTAAGCCCTCTCAGGGATAACTGTTCTCCTGGCATGGTTTAGTACCTGCCAAAGTGGTTGGGCTTAAAGCCCATTTTATGGAAATGGGAGGCCCCTCCCTAGCTTGCTCCTGCAGCCATATGGCTGAGAGCAGGTGAAACTTGGGAACATTCAAACCCCAAGCCTCCAGGCTCAGGCCTGCATGTAGGATGCCTGCCAAAAGCCTTTGGAAATATCTGAAGCCCCTGGTGGAGGATGTTTGCTGGTTGTAGGGCCAGTATGGTTCTGGACTGACTCAGGGATTTGGACTTCATTTGACTGGGAACATGAAACATTTCTTTAAAAATTGTAGTTCTTTGATGAAAGCAAGTGGGGGTGAGGATGATAAGAGATGCAGAATGAGGCAAGGTGTGACAGTGAAGGAAGAAGCCACTCCCATCATCTTTCCTAACCTACTTCATGCATGCCAGCCATTGAGAGAGTCCTTATCCTTTAGTATGACTGGTCCTATGGGACAATGTAAAGGTTGGAATGCATGGGCAGTGCAAGTTGCCAGTGGTTAATGACTCCTTCTTCTGCAAATTTCCTCAACTCTTTGGGTGACAGACACCTCCTTCAAAGGCCTGACCTTATTTGATCCTCCAGGCCTGACCTTATTTGATCTTGGAGTGAGGTGGGCATGCTAGAAGGGAAGGACAGATTACAGCAGGACCTGGACAGGTTACAGGCATGGGAAAATGAAAATAGGATGGAATTCAATACTGACAAGTGCAGCGTGCTGCACTTGGGCAGTAGGGACCAGCAGTATACCTATAGGCTGGGGAACTCCCTTCTCGAAAGCACGGTGGCAGAAAGAGATCATGGGCTGACAATTCAAGAACACGGTCAGTAGGGTTAACTGTACCTTGTCCTGCATCCACAGATGCATCACAAGCAGGGCCAAGGAGGTGATCCTTCCCCTCTATGCGACACTTGTCAGGCCGCAGTTGGAGTAGTGAGTCCAGTTCTGGGCGCCGCACTTCAGGAGGGATGTGGACAGCATTGAGAGGGTCCAAAGGAGGGCCACTCACATGATCTGGGGACAGCAGGGCAGACCCTATGAGGAGAGGCTACGGGACCTTAACCTGTTCAGCCTTCACAACAGAAGGCTGGGGGTAGACCTGGTGGCCATCCATAAACTTACTAGGGGGGACCAGTGGGGTTTGGGAGAGATCTTGCTCCCCCTGAGCGCCTCCTGGAGTAACAAGGAATAACAGCCATAAGTTGCTAGAAAGTAGGTTTAGACTAGACATTAGAAGGCACTACTTCACAGTCAGGGTGACTAGGATCTGGAACCAACTTCCAAGGGAAGT